TTTGAACAATTGCTGCAAACTCTGGGGTGACTGTAGGAGAGGTTTTGAAAATGGAAAAGCTGACATACTTTGACAGACATAATGCCATAGTTTTACACGAACAAGAAGATCATTGACGATCATTTTCTTTGACTGCCTAAGACTTCTGCACGCGTGCAAGTGTATATGCTGTAATCCGGTATTTTCAGCTCTGCTCTCATCTTGACAATAAGACTTACCCCCTACCCCACTTGCAATACTCTTTGTCTTTGCTGCACCTAACGCATAGTAGACTTTGTCAAGAAAACTGCACTGAATGAATTTCTCCCAGGGCAAACGCCATGCGGGGGAGGAGGGAGCAAGCTAATGAAAGACAGGTAAAAAAATAATAATAAATAAATCTTCCCATGGAAAATCACAGCAGGTGATTGGCTCGTTCGGCCAACGCTGGGAGCCGCATGTGCGGGTCCCTCCTTCACCTGCTGTGGGAGCGGGAGCTGGACAAACCTGTCAGGGTGCGGGCTGCCGCTCTCTCACCTTGGCCCTTTCGACATGCCCTGGCCCGCATCCAGGCAACTGTCGCCATGACGACAGCACAGCACCTGCTGAAAGGTCCTATGCGTGACTCACGATGAAGGACTAATATGTTGTGCAGGGAATACTATAGGGAATTATGTGGTGTAATCCTGTCTTTAACCCCCCCTCGTACTTGACTCTTCGCTCCCTGTGCAGGCTAACAGACACTGGGCGTACTCTTCTTATGGCTCATGAGCAACGGAGTGTCTCTTTTTGTGTTCACAAGGCAGACCTCCAGATCGTGTGACTTGGCTAAGGAGCCCGAACCGGTCTAAGCCAGTCCAAAGACAAAAATCTCTGTTGTTTTGATCTTCACTTCAACATTCATTTCTCACCTGAGAAGCCAGGCGGTACAGAGTTATACTACAATCTTTGTGTGGCAGACAGATTGGAGTAACCACAAGTGGAAGCAGACTACAATGATAATATTAACACCGACCATCCCAGCTAAGTGGGATTTGTAGATGCGCTTACTGAAGATCTCCTTTTCAGCATCCATTTTATATCCAAGTACCATAACTAATAACATCTTTATAGTACACCGAAGCTCACTATCGAAACTAATCTTTCAGCAACTATCTTCAATGATTTTCATCACATTACACCTTCACGAGACCTCGTTCCTGTGTTAATAAATCATCCATAAATAAATCAAATAAACCTCCCAAAGCAAGATTACTCTATGAGCCAGTGAACAAAGCACTGACCCAGAGTGCATTGTGGTGAAAACGGCATTCTGCCAGTGCCGTCCACGCTGAAACACTGACACACCCAAACCTCACCTCCAGAGACTTGGGGGGGGTGGTGGTTGTAAACTTGATCTTAAAAGACTTTCCAGAGCCACCAACCTCTCTCTAGACTTTTTACAGTGATACTTCTTCGTATCAGTATGCAGGTTATGACTGCACGGCTAGAGAGTGTTCGTTAAGTATTGCGCGATAGGAGAGCCCCGGATGCACGTAACTCGGGGGTGGCTGTCCTAACAGCCAGGCAATTATTTTGTTCTAATGTCAGTAACCTGTCACTCAGAAAGACGGTTCATAGAGCAGAAAAACAACACAGAATTACATGGACTGGTCTGCTACACTTTAGAGTGGTCTGAGAGATAACCCCCCCCCCCCTTAATAGATTGCTAGCTCACATTGCCTGAAGTAAATGCGACAGAAACGTAACTCCCCTTACTGCTGCAGCCCGAGGCTATTCACGTACTGCGGTAAACAAAACAACCTGTCACCTGTTAAAGGAGCGGTTCCCCATGGAAAATGATCTTCTTTTTGCAGAGAGGAACATGGCTGAGCCTTTCGATTCCCACACTTACTGCAGAAGTACGGCCTGAAGTGTGTTAATGTTAATACTGTATTCATGCATTCATCTCTCATATACTCTGGTAGTAACCGAAACACGTCTGAGATGCAGAATTTTTTGCATTATTTCATGCTTCTGGATTTCAACTTGGGATCTTTATTACACTTAATCTGAGCAAACAAACAGGTTTCTTCTGGTTCCGCGTCAGATACATGTGAATTTTGCGACTCGCCCTTCTCTCTGTGTTGTGGCATGTCCTGTGTGTGCAGATCTTTCCATGAAATGAGGAACAATAGATCAGACCCGAAAGTGCCATCAGCTAATTTCTCCTTTGAAAACAGATGACAAGACCACGCGACGGTTCGGCATTTCAGGCCGCTTTGTTCTCTCACGTCGCTTCCTGTGTTCCTGTGTTCAGCCAGGATGGTTCTGGGTTGATCGAGATGCTTGGGTAGGTGGTTAATGACAGGCACGACTGGAGGCTTGTGAGGTCAAAATTTAGGTGAAGCCCAAATGCTGGTGCCTTCAGCTAAGGGGTAGGAGAGAGTTTGTTATGGGGGGGGGCACAACTTAATAATTGAATGAGAAAGTCTGTTTTTTTTGGGGGGTGGACAAATAAAGCCAAATTAAATACTGGGAGGTACATATCTACCCGCCCCCCCCCCCCCCCCCCCCCCCCCCCCCCCCCCCCCCCCCCCCCC